TCAAGGGGTTGATGTTCATGCTTGACTGAGCTGGTAGATTTTTTACACCTTCTGAAGATCGGTCTCATTACCTCGGGAGGTAAGCGGTGCATCAAGCTCGTGGGCTTGAGACTTCTGAGCCCGGATTCAGGATCTTTCAGTCCGTATGCACAGAAATGGAAATCTCCCCAGGTTGCCACAAACTCAACCATGCGAAGATAGCGTTTCTGCTTCTCCCAGACTCTTTGTTGGTCTTGTTGGATGTTCTGCATGTTTGACCACGGTCCACAGAGCGGTGCCATGAGGATTACATCAGGTGCTTGCTCCCTGATGATCTCCATGACCATGTGTCGTCCCTTGGATGTCATTACGTCGAATCCGGTGCGGATATCTACGGGAGTCCCAACCTTAAGACCTGTGAGTGCGCAGCATTGACTGAATCTGGCACTTCCTGCAAAGATCTTGAGAACGTGAATCTTTCCTTTACGTACACAATTCCAGTGCGCTTGTTCAGGAACGGATGTGAGGCCCTCGACGAACATGTTCTCTGCCGGATGAGGCGCTGTAGGCTTGGGAGTTGTCTTTCCCGCGATACATAATGGCACTGAGGATTTTGGCTTAGGAGCTGGTACGGATGACTCCTTCTTCTTGGTATCGGCAGAGGAGCCGGGTTGCTCCTTCTGCAAGGATTCTCGCTCTTCTGGCAGTAGAAGATCAATTCCAGGTTTTTGCGGCGGGATAGTTTCATCCTTTCTGACCTTCGTCATGTTAACCTTGATGAGTCGAGGCCCAAGATCAAGTCCTACCATTGCTCCTTCAATGGAAATGACTTTTCCTTTTAGCCATATTCCTCCCTTGCTTCCATCGGAACGGATCTTGGATTTGTCTTCCTGCCAGTAAAATACCTTGTCCTTCACCTGAAGAGGCTTAGAACTCATTCGGAGATTTTGAGCAAGGTCTCGTCGGATGTCTTCGGATTGACGTGCTTCTTGGAATGCTTGCTTGGACAGCTGCTTGATCTGGATGGCTGTCAGCTCTTCTTCATTCCTGTCAATCGTCAACTGAGTTGGTGTTGCGACATCGAGTTGGATGAGATCTGCTGGTCGTCTTCCGAATGCGAGCTCCAATGGTGTTACACCCCCGTAGGTGACAGTCTGATTCCTGACAGTTGCAGCTGCCTTCACCAGCTGTCTATATGTCACTTTCTTCAGTGTGGCAGGTGCTGCGCCTGCCTTGATGGAACTTAGCATGATCTTGAGCTGCCTTCAGGAGTCGAACTGCTGCTTCAGGTCCCAATGATATCGGTGTGATGTCAAGGGATTGATAGAAATGTTCCCATGTCTCCGTCATGAAGGCTTGATCTGCGACAACTGATTTGGGCTGCAAGTGGCACTGGTCAAAATAGTTCCTGAGGACAGTGATGTTCTCGACTTCTTGCGTAGTTGTCACTGCCTCTGCAGTGAGCAATGTTGTTGCTCCATCCAGGATGACAAAAACAATGATGTGTTCTCCTGTTCCAAGAGGAACTTGACAGTGATCAATGAATGTCATGTCACCAAAGGTGTCCGCTCGAAGTCCACTCGTCTTGCTTCGTGATGGTGCATGTTTTGCCGCTTGGCAAACTTCACATTCACTTCGGATTTTGTCAAATAGATCGAATGTTGATTTCGGCAAGTGAAGTGAGCGAGTTCTAAATCGAAATTGATCTGTTGTCATGTGGTGATGCTGGAGGTGGAGCTTCTTCAACTCTTCGGGATTTGACAATCGCTTGTGGATTCTGCCTAGCGCAAGCGGAAGCGTCGAAAGGAGGATGGTGCGAAAGGATCTGGCTCAATGGTCGACCGGCCCTTCTTGTCGATGATCCTGTCTGCTGCCGATCCTGAGCCTGCTTCTTCGTCCTTAAGCGAATTGTCCGCGAAGGTGAAAATGGTCTTACCTATCCACAGGTTAATCATTGGTTTGTTTGCCTGGGATGTAAGTCTCCAATTGTCTTCTAGGATGTCTGGATCTCCACCTTCGGATGCATCAATGATTTCCGTAGTACGCTCTCGGCTAACGTAGCTGCTTGTTCTTCTTGTCAAGGATCCAATGGTCCTGCTTCTGAGACCCAATGATTTTAGGAGTTGCTAGGTCCTCCTTCGTCTCGGATGATTTTGCTGCCCAAACAGTTTCGCTCTTGGAGATATCCTCAGAGGGAAACTTGATGCTGTTGTCATCATCGTAGACGTAGTTTGTGAGGCCCTTTTGAGCAATTTCTCCATGCGCCTTCACTCTTGCAACTCCAGCGAGATCGACGAGTGCATGTCCTGTACCGGATACCGGAACTGCTTGACGGTTCATGCCAAAAGCCTTGCATGTGATCTTGTCACATTGAGGTGTGTGCTCGATGGTCATGTAGAGGTTCCGCATCTGACCGATGCTGAGGAGGATCGGCACAGCTCCTTGTTCAAGGACGTCGATGTTGGTACTGCATGGAGGAGTTGTGTGATATCGAAGATGCAGGGTCCAATTTACCCTGGCGGTCTCTCCGTTTGCAAAAGTGAACTTGGTCTCGGCCGGGATGTACTGATAGGAGATGATGTCCTTCATGGGTTCGATGGCCTTGGTAAAACGCTGGATCGCATGCCAGCTGCCCATGGATCTGGTACATCCATAGGTCGGATTGTGCTGAGGGTTGATGACAGGCGCCATCAGCTTTGTTGCCAAAAGGCTGTGATTTGTTGCGACGGACAAAATGTGTTCTGGATCAGCTTCCCGTGGATGGCCTCTTTCTCATGATGCTCATATGCGTCATGGAATGCCACAGCGCTTGTCCTGTGCTGGATGTCTCATGGGATGAGTACCAGCCTTGTTCGTTCCATGTCCATGACTGATCCGGGATAGGTAGGCTCTGTGGATGGTGCAGTCTGCTGGATGGCGGGCTGCTCCTCCGTCTTCTCTGCGATGGCTGCGAACGTCTTGGATTTTCCTTTGTCATGTCCGCCTTTTTCTTTGCCATTCTCATAGGGTGGATAACCCTTGTTTCCATCATAGGGATATTGGAATTTTGATTTTCCTTTCTTTCCCTTCTTTCCTTTGCCTTTTCCCCAACATGCCTGGTCGTAGGGATCATAGTTCTCATTGGCCATGTTGGCCTTCCCGCCAGGTCCGCTTTTTCTGAAGGGATTAAAGTCGTTGGTGACTGCCCTTTTTGTTTCCTGATTTTCCTTTTCCTTTTCTCTTCTTGAATCTGAAATTCCGCCCTGACACTTTTCTTGCTATGAACGCATCGTTCTCCTCGAGGACCCAGAATGTCTCTTCATCGTTGTTTGACATGAATCCTTCAAGTCCTTCTTCATCCTCAACCCAAAAGCCTTCTTCTCCTTCATATTCACCTTGTTTGATGATGAAGAATGTGTTGCTTCGGTTGCCTCCTTGAGGTCGGATGGATGGATCTTGAATGGATGTCCTGGTCGTGATGAAGAGTTCATGGTAGTGCGTCTTCAGCATCTCATAGGAGTAGTTCTCTAGTGAAATGTTTCTCAATGACATTGCACTTGTCAGTCTTTCTCTCTGTTGATCTGACAATTCACTTTGTAAAATGAAAAACTGCGCAATGAGATTATCCCCGAAAGGAAATGCGTCCCGCTGTCTGTCCTGCATTCCCGTGATATACTGTCTGAGGACTGTTGGATCATCCTCATTGAGCAGGACTGGAGGCGGTACTCGAGTACCAGCTGCTTGCTGATGTCGAGCAATTGTTCTTGCATTTGCGTCCTGTACGGACTGTCGAAATGATGGGGACTGTGCCGTGAAAACTGGCATCAAGTCCATCCATGCTGCCTTCAGTCTCATAAGAAGGATTTCGAATTTTGATGTAAAAATGAGGAACTCTTGGTTCTGCCTTCTATGATTGAAGAAACTGAGGAGCCTGTACAAATACACGTTGGTCGCACCTTTCAAAAAGTACTTCTTCAGCGTGTTCTTGAAGTAGTTGACTCCTTCATCTGGATCTTGCAAAAGGTCATTTTGGAGGACTGCCTTGTACATATAGGCATCTCCTGTGAGTCTGCTTTTGAGCAGAGGTCCTCTCTTGGGTGCTTGCATCGTAGTGATTGTCACCCAGTCGTCCACGAGTTCTTCATACCTAAACCAGCTGACCTTTCCGTCGTACGATGGCGGCTGCTTGGCGGTCATCGATGAATTGAGTGTTTCCTCCGTATAGCCTGAAGGTGTGGCCATACTTGAATAGGCTTCCATGAAGCCTTCTCCATCGGATGACATCTTCCCTTGGATCTCTGCGGAAAACCCGCTCCGCTACCTCCCAGAAGGGAACTGGTACCCTGTGGTAGTAGAGGTCGTTGATTTGGTCCCTGGATCTATTCCGGAGAGAGTCCAATATGCCAATATGGAGGATTGGAGGATGGATTGTCCCTGGTGGCTTGTGTTGACTGTGAATCCTGTGAAGCGGTCTGCAAGCCTTTTTATCACTGTACCATGTGTCGAATGACGTGAAGGGCCTTGAGCCAAACATATTAGCGGAGTGTGTGCAAAGGTCAATGGGTGTAACCAAAAGCAACACAGGGGGTGGGGGGGTTAGGTAGCTTGGGTGTTTTCTGTGGAGTTGTGTGCGTTGCGGTGCTTGCGGTGCTTGCGGGCGTTTGCAGCTTTGCGCCTAGCGTGTTGCAGCCATTTGTGGTTGCACATGCGGTGCGCGGCCAATTGCGGCTCATTTGCACAGCACATGGTGCAACTGATGCCACCAGAAATGTCCGCGGCTTCCGCGAAGGTTTAGTTTCCACATACTCCGGAACTTGAGGGCTCAGTGCCAATTCGGATTTGGTTTACTGGGGGCCAAAGGGCGGGGGAGGGGGCCATAATTCTGGGTGTTGTTTTTCGGGAATTCAAAGAGAAACCACCCAAATATGTGGGTTGGTGGAAATGAGGTGATCTGATGTTTGAGGCGAAAGAGGAGCCAGAGAGGTTTGAAGCTTAGCACCGTCAGTGGGTAGTGCGAAACAAGTGGCAGCTATCCGCCCGGCCTGGAAGCAGAAGTCCGGCAGCGTGCTGAGCAACGGGCTCAGCGGCACGTCCTCGTAGTCCTGGCCGACCAGATCTCTTGCTATGCCGATCCGTGCGAGTCGTCGGCAGGGAATGAGCAGCGGAACAACCCCAAGATAGACCGTCCAACTGGAGGTTTCCGGGAAGCGGGGTTTCCATGGAGGTTTCGTTTAAGATACGAAGATTGGTGTCCTTTTCGGAAAATAGATGGGCTTCTCTGGTAGATGATTGAACCAGGCAAACCAGGAATCGACCTCTAGTTCTTTAAGCAAAGGTAACCAATCCCAATATAAACCGTGCAACTGGTTGGAAACCCTGCACGATCCGGTGCATCTACCTGAGTCGCACACCCCCCAACCACCAAATTCAGTCATTCAGCCAAGCAGGTTGGACACCGGATGATAAAATGTTGAATCCCAATTTTCATCCCCAGGTTTCAGACGCGCCGGGCTGCTGGCGCCGGCCGCCTCGCTGGGGAAGCGCTCGAGCGTGGCAGCGCGCGGGGCGCCTGGCAAGGAGAAGGGGGCTTGGCTCAGGGGGGGTCCGGGTGAGGGAAATACGCGCTTATTTGGGCATCTCCCTTTCCAGCCCCCATGAAAGGCCATCCTTCTGTTTTTGTGTGCTCTGTAGAGAATGTGAAGACAAAAAGCAGTGCCTGTGGTTCGGGACCCTTTGGTCTCCCTGTAAGCTTGAACTGTTCTAGCCGCAAGCAGAACACGGGGAAGCCAAGACGTCGGAAAATGAATACGGAAGCAGGGATCATCACGTGGGCCACAGCTTGGACTTGCAGGCCAGACGTGTCGGTCAAGTTCTTCCCAATGTGCAGACTCATCCAGCTGTCGCCGGTGAGATGGATGCCTTCGCCAGATGGCCATGGGTCAAAAGCCCGGTTATCCCCCAGTGAACATAAAATAGGTTCTCAAATGGGTGGTGAATTCACCTACCAACTAAAATGGGATCCCAAAACGGTTTTGACAACCACAGCCATACAAATCGTTTGGAGCAAAAGGTCCAAAGTCAGCACATGATGCCCCTCTACGCAAACATTCACATTGTCCGTCCACCCACTTTAGAACCTATTTTAGTGGGAGTCAACACCCGTTTTGGGATCCCATTTTTGGTCCCATTTGAGAAAACCCATTTTAGTGGTTGGATTGGTTGATGTTCACTGGGGCTACGCCCAGGAGCTGCACCATCGGAGCCCAGGAGCCGCACCGCGGCTTTGGCAAAATCGTGGCCCGTTTTCTGATCCGCTAAAAGTTTGACGTGGGTGACGAACTTTTAGTGGGTGAAATGGAAACCACGAAACACCAAAAAGCTAAAACAGCTAAAAGGCTGAGGGCATGGCTGGGAGCCACCAAGTAATTACTTGGCCAACGCGCCTGCTACAGGAGTTCTTACCTTATCCAGCTGAAGTATCACCTTGATGGGGAAGGGCTTCATATTTCATGATGGTCAAGTTGTACTGCTAACCCCGGATTAATAAACCCCTAGTTAATTTTGATCGGGGGGGGAATCCCCCTGTTAGTGGTTGGATTCAGACCACTTTTTGGAGGGAACACCCCCCTAATGGGACGGGTTCTACTTAGATCTTGGGACAACATGATCGGCTTCGTATGGCTGTGGGTCAAAAATAGGCACCCCAAATGGAACCCTGGTAAATGGAACCAAAGACTAAAACCTGCGGTCCCATTCCTGGTGGTTTTATTTTGACCCATACCCATATTTACTGGTGGCCAAGATGTATCTCTTGAGCAGTCCCCCGCCCCCAGCTGGCGCCTTGCGTCGCCACCGAGGCTGTCTCGGAGAGCGTTTCCTTGGGAGCTGACGGTTTGGCGGGCAAGCGCCAGAAGAGGATCCTTCAAACGCAGCGGGTTTTGTCGCGGAACATGACCATTTGTAGAGGAATGTCCTTTTAGTTTTGGATGTGATTTGGAAACTTTAGTTTTGCCCCCCCACCAAGCTAACACTTGTGGTTCTTGTCCAGATTTCGCGCACATCAACATGCAAACAAAATCGAACCAGATCCCGGCTCTGACTACTCATAGAAACCAACAGGAACTCCTACGCCAAGTTCGCCGAATGCCGACTGCACCCACAACCTGGGTGTTTAGCTCACTTGCAGAATGTCATATTCACCGACAGGAACAAAATGAATCCCTAAAGAGCCTTCCTGGAGCTGAGCTCGCCTTTCATTGCACACTCACCGGAACCGAAGCCTGGGAGCGAGGCGCAGAAGATGGGTTGGGACAAAAGAGGTGTCACGTGTTTTTTTGTTTTCCCCCCCCCCGTTTTTGTATGCCAGCTCCTGCACAAGTTGTAATGGAATGGCAGTAGACGGTGGCACAATGGCTGAACAAATGTGACCCAAAGCAGCGTCTGATTCTGAGCGGGTCAATTGGAACACAGTGAGAAACTGAAACGGCACAGCCACAACTAGCAGCCTGAATCGTGGTTCAGACCAGGGTCTGATCCTCCCAGTCAACTCCTGTGGGAGAACAGCCAGCACACGAGACATTGTTCTTAGGCCAATCACAGAGCAGTCTGCCCAAACGCTGATTGTTCAAGCAGTTTTTGGTACCACACCCTGGGATTACACCCTCAGAAAGTCACACAAACTGGGCTGTTCAACATGCAGGGTTTTTGTTAATGCTCCTTCCTGATTTGGGACCCCTTTCGCAACACAAGGAAAGGATCCGGATTGTTTCCCTTCGGCATGCCTTTAGTATCTTGCCGTCCCCTAAAAGCACAAGGGGCTGCCGGAAAGCCAAGAGGTCCAACATGCCCTCCGCATCCAGGCTTCCCGGCCGCATTCTCCGGGGCGGGGCCCAAGACAGCGAGATACCCTAAGCCGGGCCGAGTCAAGAGGTCGAGAGGTCAGGTCGGTGCTCGAGGATTGCTCACGAGGAGCAATCCTCCCCCCGATGTCCATGCAGGGAAAAGTGTCTTGAGGGATTTTTGAGGGACCTTCATCATGGGCTTTCGCTGGTTCTATCCCCGAATCGATGAGCTGGTTTATATTTGACCATCGGAGAGGACCATTCTAAAGTCGTAATTCATAACCTTCTGGTAACACGATCTAAGCTCAAAATAGGAAGTCGACAAAGGAAACAAAACTGATCCGTGCGCTTTCGGTTTCCTTTTGGGACCCCCTTTTGAGTACCAAGCATTTTGGGGAACCAATCCCTATTTAATAGTCAAACGGTACTGAGTTTCTTGCTACAGCTTACGATCACCTGGTTCGCCCCCAAGAAAAACTCGGGAGACTGGCAGCTTGAGTCGCTGCAAAGTGTACATCAACTGTCAAAACTGCCGCTGTTTCTGGATGTCTTTTTTACAAATGGTGGGTGTCCTCTCGGACCTCAAAATGGGTACCTACAAAAAAAACAGACAGACCCATGTCGTATTCTAATGCTTCAATCACAAACCTTGAGTTTGGAACAAAGCACAAAGCTTACACGAAGCACTCGTGGCATGGCGAAGCCCGTCGAGGAAGAACAGCGCTAGGTCAAAGTTGCCGGAACTGTCTTGTGAAAAATCTTCCGCGTCAACCTGCCAAGTATTGCTTTTTAAATGGAAATGCGGCATTGACCTAAATCAGCAAGCGCCCGACGCGACGCGTCGCTATTGTTTGGGTGGAATGGTCTAGGTTTATTCAGCAATGCCGAAATTCACATGCAAAAGGAACGTCAAACATGCGTCAACCGCGTTTAAGCGTTGTCGCCACAAATCCCTTTCGTTGCAAACCATATACGTGTACCAAGTTGCGTCAGCGGCCAGGCCCCCTTTTGAGTAACATACATACTCCTTGGAAAAAATGACCCCACCTAAATGAGTTTGCGACCAGGAAAAGAAAAGTATGAGCAAGAAGGGCCCAAACAGTTCAAATGAGGTGCAAGCACTATTTGACCAAATTGCCTGACGACTACAAGACAAACAAAGTTGTAACTATTCTGCCCCCGTTTTTTTTTTTTTTTTTTTTTTTTTTTTTTTTATCTAGAGCCTGATATTTGCAACCATGCTGCTACCCCACAATCCGGTTCTAGTTATCTAGGCTCTTCTGGGTTGTCTCAAAATAGGGGAACCCTCAAAAAGGGGAACGGTTTCCCTGAAAACCGACGGGACCCTCCGAACGGTTTCCGGCAGCCGCAGAAGACACATTCCGCTACTTCCGCTCTCAGATCCAAGCGGATGAGCCGTGCAGTTCCGGCCATGCACCGCCTTCGGAAGGTCACTGCCGGGCCCCGTCCCCGAATCCAGTTCGCGCTGCGGGTCAAAAATGGGGCAACCCCAAACTGGAACCCTGGTACATGGGACCAAGGACTAAGACCTGCGGTTTTTCTGGCGCTTAAAATTTGAGACATACCCATTTTGCGCTGTGAAACCAGCGGCAACCATAAATAATCTTTGGTTTCACAAAAGAATCAGCCCAGGGTTTCTTAGGTGCATAATTTCGTCCATCCACAGTAGGGCCCTGTCTTGCCAGCAGGTCCAAAACAAGTCTTTCAATTCTTAGCTTCTTATTTATGCCTCCAACAAGTTGGGGGTTGAAAAAGAGGGTCCTCCGCTGTCTACTTGTCCAGTGGTCAGGGTTTGGTTGATGGTGGGTTAAGCTAGATTGGGGAGCAGGATTGAACTCCCAGGCAAAAAAAACAACGCTGGCTGATTCTAAAGGGACACCACCCAACAAACAAGAACAAGAGAGCCTTCTTGCGCTCCAAAGAGGCGCTTCTTCTTAACAAGCGGGTGTTACAAACCTGAACCAACCGAACGCGCTTCCAAACAACCCCAGCTTGGGGCACGTGACAAAGAGTCAACGCTGACTGAGCCACGGAGCACTAGCAACTTTCAACTTCTTTTTGGTGACGGGAAATCCCCAAAAAGTCGGAATCTCATCAAATGTCTCCTCAAAGCCCAGGGTGGTGGGATGACCCAGAGGTTGGAGTTTCTGGAGTTTCTGGCTGCACAGGTGTACCGCCCTTAACACCAGCGTTGCATCGATCAAAGGCCTGGAGAGAAGACATCCCAAATATACTTCATCCTTGGAGTCGGCGAGCGGATATTCAGAATTGCCTGACAAACCGGTGATGGAATGTAAGGGCGGGCAGAGGGCCAGAGGGGCAAAGGGTACCAGCTGCCAACTCACACAAGGCTCTGATCAAAATGGGCATGCGATCCCAATTGAACTGTCTTAGAGGCCATGCATGAGACCGAAAAAGATCCTATCCCGCGAATCATCTCGGGGAAGAGTTCCTGCGATGAGGAGGCTAGCTTTCTTGCCAGGTTCCCCCAGAAAGAGTCTTAAATCAAGGGAATTAACTCTTAGGTCGCACCCTAGCAAAGCCATGGCCATCCCGGCCCCAGAAAAAGATCTGGTGGGTCTAACCTGACCATGTGGCCAAAGCATGTTTCTTTCTGGTTTCAGGTTAGAGAAGGTCGCAAAAAATGGTCCTGGTGCAAAACGAATGGTGCATGGGTGACTTCTTTCTGCCCCAAACAATGAGGGCTATTACGGCCCCCCACCAAGGGTGAACCGGCTTGGGACGTCCGAGCCCAGCCCCAAGTTACGCATTTCGAGCCCGCCTGGAGCATTGCGCGAAATTGCAATGCTCCCTCAAGTCTCTGACCGCCCGCAATGTGGGAATGGACGTTGTTTGTCAGCACTGGGTTTGAATGGTAGCGTGAATGTTGGTCACCTCTTGCCATCTCCCCAGGGTTGGGGGTGCAACACACCTGGAAAACAACCCGAAACGGGAAGGCTGATTCACCCAATATGCAAAGGTCACACCCACAGGTGAGTGCAGAATTCCACCTGAAACATCAACGTTTTGACTCTGCCGCGTCGGTTGTTGGTTTTGCTCCCCTCTTCGAAGTGACTGAAAGTGCCACAAACCGTGACCTTTGCTGCTAGATGTTTCAACCGGAGCTTGAGAGCGGGGACGCGCGTGAGCTCCCTTCCACCTGAGAGGCATGGTGTCGGAAAAACAAGTTTATGTGTCTTGAAACGGTGAAGCCCGGTTTCAGCTGGTGTTTAAAGGGCAACCAACAGGTTGAACACTGTTTCTGTAGGGTCCCCTATTTTGGAGAAATCCCCAGAGGAGATGAAAGAGTGGTAAGACGGGGAGCACTCATTGCCCATTTAAGTACCCGATTTTGCATAGTTGCTTGAACATTTATCCTTGGGCCGCGGCTTCTTCTAAGGCTCTCAGAACAAAGATACTTGAAAGTGCTTGCCCTTTCTTCCACTGACAGACTCCGCCACGAAAATCTTCCCCGGGCTTTCGTGCCCATGAAATAGCTGGCACTGGTGGCTGATAAGAACCAAATCGAAACTGGCGCCGTAGTTGAATCAAAGTCGCCAAATAGCCCATCCACTTCTGTTGAGTACTTTCCCAGCGCAACAAGGTTTCTCGAAGTTTATCATAAGTTCAAACCTTCCTCAGCGCAACTGGAAGTGACCCCAATAAAACAGCAATCTTCGTTCCTTCATGAAGAGGCTTCCTTGCAGCTTGTTTGTCTTGTTCCTGTTGTTTCACAAGTTCTTCAAATCGCAATACCTGTTCCATCAGATTCCCCTTGCCAAACATTGGATATTGCGCAATGCTTCCCAGTCAAGCTGGGCTTCTTGTCCGGCTTGCGGGAGCAAAAGTCTTCACCATGCTTTAGGTTCATGTTCTGGTTCAGCCGACTTCAGACTCTGAGAAGCACGACCTTCATCATCCCTTTTGTTTCCCCCCGTGCAATTCCCGGTCGACTAAACTGAGAATCACATGCTACAAAAAGGCTTCCAAGAAACGGCAGGCAAACCAATTCCCTAATTAATCCGCAGTCCAGAGGGCGCGGGACAGAAGGCCAGGTATACAGCACAGCGCTTAGGTTGTGTTTTTCCACATGCCGTCAGAGTGTCAAGGGTAATGGGAAAATCCATCACTAGCAAAAAGGCCATCACCCTAGGGGTAGAGGCAAAAGAGGGGTGAACCACTAAGCCCAGCGCCTGAAAGTCCATCAGAGGGACCGCACACCAGGCCTCCTTTCTCGCAAGCCATAGAATGTGATTGCGCACAATGCACGGCAGGATTGAAATCACTGATCCCAACTGTCAAAGGTAAAGGTCATCTCATCGACTCAGGGAAGAAGCACCCAGCGAAGAAGTGCAATCCACGAGGCTCGCTTCGGGAATGGGATGCAGGGGGAACCCATCCAGCCAGAGACATCCCTCAGACAAGGGGCACAGGCCCATCTCCCAAGGCAAACAAAGAAAAGGCTGAGGCTGTAGAAAGATAGGCAACCACCAGTCGCATCAAACGTCTGTTCCAAACAACGACCCCGCAGTACGTCAGTGTGTTGACCAATACGTAGTATACTGCACGCTGACTCATCTGAGACGAAAGGTCACAACCGTAAAGGCAAAAGAAGGGTGAAACACTAGGCCCAACGCCTGCAAGTCCATAAGCGGGACCGCAAACCAGGCCTCCTTTCTCGCCACACGTTTTCCTCAATCTGCAAGCAACCCGATCCTAGGATAGATTGCCACAACTGTTCGCGGCAAACAAGAATCGAGTGAGACTCGAGAGCCCTCGAATAGAAAAGAGGGGGTGAAAAGGGTCCCAGGCTCTGTCCACACACGGCGAGACCGGATGTCTGTAGAGTCTCAAGACACAGTATCTATTGGGCAGACCACGCAGCGAAGTATCCAATGCGGCGGCATCTGCAAGGCATGCAAAACCTCAACTCGATTGTCTGCGACAAAATCTGCTGAGGATTTCTGGGAGTATGTCCGGCATATCATAAGGTTACCTGCCCTAACGGGCAGTTCAGTCGGCCGTCGTACACGTGGCTGAAAAAGCACGGTCCATTGCGCACTCCTTCTCTGTTCAAGAGTCACATAGTCGGTCACCTGTGCCCGGCACTGTAGATAGATTGGATGCACAGCTTCACCAAAGTTTGCAGTCACGGCTGCCAAGAGGATTTACCGTAACAGCACTTCCAAGAAGCATGCACTATGCACAACGAATTAACCAATGCCAAGTTTCAGGGGTATTCAAGATAGGCTGGTGCCTATTTCAAGTCAAAACGGTGGCAGAAGGCAAAGAGTTCACCTGTTTTTGATTCAGCGGCATAGCCAATAGTACCTGGCAAGCTTTTCATTATGGGATGAACATCGTTCTGTCTCTTGAAGTGAAAAGTGATATTTCGGATGGTCAAGCAGTTTGGCGAGTTTTTTGGCGTCAAGAGAATAAAAAAATGGAAAGTTTGTATCCTGACACAACTGTATCAACCGTGAGCTGAGCATGCTGCATCAGAGGACGTACCCGGAAGCCCCCGACCCTGCGGGAATCCCCACAAGGGCATAGTGAGGACGGGTTACCCCGTAAGTCCCAAGGTACCAGATCCTGCTGCGAGAGGGTACTCAGGAGACGGAGTGCAGAGTCAAAGTTGTGGGTACGTTTCGGCCAGTCATATTTCTGGTGTGCCACAAGTGGGTTAATCTCAGAGGTCACATATTGTACATCTTTGTCCTCACGGCTACCTAATATGAAAGGCTGTTCCATTCCACTGCAAATGATCCAGTTAATGCACAATTCCAAGAAACTAATTCCCGGATCCCCATCACAGGGGCTAGCTGGCCACTGCACCAGGCAACCAGGGAACGGCCGAAGGCCTCACCCCACACAAAGGCACAAAAAACTTCGTCCTCGACGTCGGAAATGACATTTGGCCTCGTAGGTGAGTTCCAATTTCGCATTATCTGCAGTCTTTCTGGATGCGGGATTTTTCGAATTTTGACTTCCTTAATGACAGACACTGCCTTATGGTAGGTTAGCTGACAGTTGAGCAGGAAATTCAAAATTTCTTCACCTTCAGCATTTTGCGGTTGGATATTCTCCCGCACTTCGAGGGGTATCCCTTGGAACGCATTTCTGGCTGCATCATCGGCCATCGCGTTGCCTGGGATGTTATATGCGTCCAGTTTGTCAAGTGCATCTGACAAATCTCGGTGTGCTTTGATTTTGATAACTCTCTGTTGCGGAGCATCACGGATACAGAAGAGTCTGGCGATGACATACTGGCTATCTGTGTAGCAGTGTGAAGATGGGCAGCTCTCCAATGCCGTGACCACAGCCTCAAATTCAGCTGTGTCGATGGTCTGCCCTTTGGTCACCTGCGATGTCAGCACGATCTTAAGGCTTTGGGGTATAGCACCAATTTGGGT